TTGGCCTAAGAGACAGACACTAACAATAATTTAAAGACCTCATTTAATCAACTGACTTCACCAAGCCCCAATTTTACCGGGACTCACACAAAAAAAGGATGTTGCAACATTCCTTTTACCAGTAGGGTTTTCTATATTCTGTCGGACACTCTGAGAGGCATATTACTCTTGACTAAACTTTAAGCATTTAAGCACTGTGTTTAGTCTATAGAACTAAATATTCCTCATATAATAAGTTCAGTATTGACATCTGGGATGGGTTGAAAAGTACACGGGCATTGGAATTCACATACCTGGGATAGTTAAGCTTCCACATTGCCTACAACTACTAGTTTCTTAACTAGTATTAAGTGAGCTCAAATAAGTAGTAATTTATCTGATCTTCATTAACTCATCTATAAATTGAATATAAGAAAATTATGTTAATAAAGGTAGGAGAGTGACTGATACAAAAGCATTGAAACCTCAGTGGTTAAACACAATGGAAGGTTATTTCTTGATGTAACAATTAAGTGTGGATGCTTCAGTACGCCCTGCTTCAATGTGCTCTGCTTCAATATGTCCCTTGCCTTCAGTGACTCGTCACCCCCAAAATCTCACAGTGTCAATTCTCAATTCCTCCAAGTAAGATAAAGATTCTAGCTCCCACATGGACAGAATCCAATAGCAATCAGGTTTATATTTTTAGCAGGACTCAAATCCACAAGATTGAAAGAGCCTGGATCTCTGAGTCACAGCGTGAAGGACTGCAGTAACTTAGGGATCCGGGCTCTTTTAATCTTGTGTATTTGTCAGCCCCTTCACTATTTGTCAAGGGCCAGATAGAAAATATTTTAGGCTTCATAAGCTGTATGTCACAACTACTAAATGATACTGTTGTGGTGCAAAGGCAGCCATTGATGATAGTAAACTAATCAGTATGTCTAACTTCAATAAATCGTTATACACAGAAACAAGTGGCAAGGAGATTTGACCAACTGGAAGTACTTTTTAGACACCCCCTGCCTTGGGTTATTGAAGTCCTTTTATGGATTCTTTGCAACCAACTGGTTGATGAGACAAAATAAGAACATGAAGAATGGCCAGAGTTTGTAATGGACTAAGCTTAAAAATAGCATAACATGGCTGGGCGAGGTGGCTCCCACCTGTAATCCTAGCAATTTGGGAGGCTGAGGCAGGTGGATTGCCTGAACTCAGGAGTTCGACACCAGCTTGGGCAACACAGTGAAACCCCATCTCCACTAAAATACAAAAAATTAGCTAGCTGCGGTGACGTGCACCTGTAATCCCAGCAACTCAGGAGGCTGAGACAGGAGAATCGTTGGAACCCTGGGAAATAGAGGTTTCAGTGAGCCAAGATCCTGCCACTGTACTCCAGCGTGGGTGACAGAAAAAGACTCCATCTCAAAAAAAAAAAAAAAAAAAAAAAAAAAAAAAAAAAAGTAGCACAGCATATGTGACTTCTGCCCATTCCATTGGCCAGGACATGGGCATGGCTAACTCCAAGGAAACCTGGGAAATAGCTTGTGTTTGCCCAGAAGAAAAAGAAAACCAAATTTTCTAAACTAATAACATTCTCTACCAAAAACACTTTCTTCAGTGGTTGTGGAGAGGGTCATATGAGATGATGAGTATGCAAAACTACTTCGTAAATTATAATCTGCTGTGCAAATGTAGAATGCTATTTTTACTATAATTACTGTATGCGATATTTCCATGAATAACTTACAACCAGGGAGGGATAGCCTCTTTAGAAAAAGAGAGCTTACGAGTATAAAAGGCACTTAAAATTTTTAGATCAAGTAGAATATGCAGATTATGCCCTCCAAGCCAAAGAATCATGACCTTTTCCTCTAACTAGCATGCCTTGAAATGCCCTGAAATTTCCTCTCCCTCCATGGTAAAAACAAGCTTTGTATGCATAGAGGCAATTACTGAAGCACTTTTTTGGGTTATCTCTATAGCCAGATTATTTGCTGTAAAACTGAAGTTCATTTATAATGCCCTTCATTGCCAGAAACAATAAGTTGAAAATATAAAGTTGAAGCTATCCATAGTATTAACTAATTAACTAGAAATCCATGCTTAATATTCTCCAAGAGTAAAGCTCTGTGCTGGGGAGATAGGACACATTGGAAAGCATATAAGCTAAGATAAAAAATGAATGTGATCCCTTCAATCAGATTACGAAGGTCTCACTTTTAAACCATTTAATGTTTGTGATCAGGTCATAGTTTTGTTTTGTGTTGTTTTTTTCAACAGCCTTTTCACAGAGTAACAGGAGCAGCACAATTATTTCACTGCTTTTAAAGGGTTTTTCATTTGTTTGTTTTCTTTGAATGGCAGATTAATAGTGGAGAAAGTGAAAATGCAAGATTAGAATGAATTTTTATAAAATAGGGGATAAAATATGGATGATTCATTTATTTACCTAATTTTAAGCAAATTGACAAATTGAAGGGACTTCCTATGGGGCAATTAGCCATCCATCATTGGTTATTTTGAACAAACCAAGAAAACAAGACATTTAAAAGGATTTGTCGAGCATGAGAGGTGGAGTGTGTATGGCTATGTTGGCAAGTAGGGACGATGATGCCTTACTTAGAGTGGTGACCTGGTTAGGTACCTATGTCTCTATGACATATAATCTCTCCACTTCTAAATAGCTAAGTGCTCAATGGATAGAGTATGCATAAGGTCTAGTTTGCTCAAGAAAGTCCCAGTTTTCCCTTGTTCCCCCCATAACTATTGATAGTGTTCTCATCCACCCTCTAGAGTGCCCCAGTTTGGAATGATGCATTACGTGGACATGCTGTCCATGGCTGTGTGTTCATGGCTTGATGTGCAGAATATGGGGAGGTGGCACTCAAGCAGCCTCTTAATTGCCACACCTAAGAGGCTTGAAACCTGAAATGCGCAAAGGACTAAGTAAATAGCAAGTAACAGGATCCATGTAGCCATTTCTCTCCCATGAGCCTGGTGAGAAAACTCCTCAGCCATGAGAAAAGGGCCAATAGGCACTGATTTCTGAGCTGCCACTGCTACAAAGAAGAGGTGATTTGAGAATCTGTATGAGTCTCAGCCACCATTGCGAAAGAAAACTGGACTCTGGCACCTAAAATAACTTCTCAAAGGTTTATAAAGTTCCAGAGCTCCTATTTATCTTTTAATGTCTCTAGCCATCAACTAATTCATTTCCTTACATTAGCCTAGGGTGATTTTTTTTTGTATTTGTTCATTGTCTCCTGACTGATTCTGAACTTTGTTAATCATAATGACACAATTTCAAATAGCAGTAGTTCAGTTCCAATCCCACACTCCTCAAGATGTAATACAGAGAGAATGAACGGCTTCCTCCAAAGCATTGGCCTTTGGAAGCCTATGAGGGCTCTATTCCAGTCCCTAACTCTTTACCAGTATTCCTACCTCCTCCTCTATCCAAGTCATCACAGATACCAATGCCTGCTTCCTCCAAGTCATGAGTTCCTGCATTTTTAGGTAGCATTGACACTGGAGAGGTATTCTTCTCTCCAGGAGATTTGGGAAAGGGGAAATGAGCTTAGCATTCAGCTACAGAAAGATGATTGCTCACCTAAGCCATTACTTTTAATTTTATGGATAATGAGAAAGCTCTTGGGTTTTTTTGTTTTGTTTTGTCTTGATGAGGCAGCATTCATTCATTAGTCAAAAGCAAATGAAATGCTTCCCCTTCTCTTAAACTCTCTAAGAATTCATCCTCTTCCTAGATTCGCCAGGAAAAAAAAATCTTAAACTCCAAAATGATCTTTCTATTTGTTCCTTGTTGTATCCCCACAATCTGATCTAGTATCTTCTGCTGAAGGTGCTCTCTATATATTTGTAAATTAATAGGCTAATGAAGGAATGAAGAGATTCACCAAGGTAACATAGAACCAAAAGATAAGAGTGTGTTGGGCACTATACAGCCATATGTCCTACCATAGATTGATGCCTCATTGTTGCCCAAACTCCTACTGAGTTTAGGAATCACTGGAGTATAGGTGCCTAGAAGGACCCAGAGCTGCCTAAGAAATAGAGCTAAGCTAAGACAAATAGGAAAGACATTTACAGAAAGTCAATGATGCAAAGAGTTTCCTTCCCTGGATGAGAACATTAGCACCACAGAAAAACTGTGAAGAGACTTAGGAGGTAAATTGTTTATTGGAGAGGATGGTGGCAATTTGGGTTTATAAAGATGAGAATGAAGGCTGATGGTTGCAGGCAACAGAAATGTTAACTCGGGCTAGCTCAGACAATAAGATACTATATATTCTGACAAAACTGGCAGTCCAGAGCAGTACGTAGGCTTCTGAGTTGAATGATTCAGTGATTCAAAATGTTACCATAGGTCCAAGTTTCCTTGGCTCTACAGAGTTCTCAGAACCAGTATGACCTCTGAATGATAGCATGATGACTAAAGCAAGTCACATCCAGATAATGATGCTCACAGGAAGAGGAGAGGCAATCACTCCCCATGGCACGCTCTCTAGTTTTTACGTATGTGTTGTTCATTTATCTTTGAAGAATGCATGCTCTTTATTACTATAAATGAGGCTTGTAATCCCCTAACTATAGTTTTCTCCTAGAACCTGAACAAACGTAATTCTTAGAGCAAGAATTTGCACCTTTCTTTTTCCAGCAAAGAAACTTTCCCAAGGAGTTCTCAGAATCTTTCCCCTCACATATCTTTCACCAAAATTGGATCCCATGACTATTCCTATCACGTTACTCACAAGACAAATGGAAATCTCTTTGTCACCCTTGCAGGGTTGAAATCAGCTTCTGCTGAGGCATATGGCTGCATGGAGAGGGGTAAATACCTAAAAAATAAAAATAAATTCTGAAAAATTTGCTAGGATGGAGGAAGAAGAGAAAGCTGCTGTGTGAGCAACCGGAATGAGAATGTCAATGAAACATTAGCAACCTAGGTTAGCTCTAGAACACGTGAGGGTTATAGCAGTCCTAAGAAAAATATCTCAAATAGCTTTGCGCAGTGGCAGTATCGTAGCCAATGAGGTTATTCCGAGGCACGATTCTTGCTAATTGAAAACTTAAAAAAAAGTCTCAAATGGGCATCGTGTACACCCTTCCAAATTTCTGAAGCAGGTAAATACTACAATCTCATTTGTACTAATAAATAAATCAAGATTCAGCTGACTGACCTACAGAATTTAACAGTTAAGAAGTGCCCACTGTGTGTGAGAAATGAAACATTTAGTTACGGAAGATTAGTCTGATTCCCAGAAATAAAAATTCCAAGTTAGAGAGCTAGAGAAGGAAACTTCCAAGCAAATGGCAAATACCATGTGAAGCCATAGTTAAATAAATTTCACTTGTAACCATGTTATTTTTGGTACATCATTTATTCCTTTATTTATTCATTTATTCAATAGGCTATAGCCTATTGATATATATGCAAGACAAATTGTCAGGAGCTTGGGACTAAAGAGATGAAAAATTATTTCACCTGTGCCTGCACCCCTGAGTTCACAATATACCAAGCAAGATTCAAAGGCAAGCACTGACCACATTTCCTAAGTTGAAGATGTTATCTATTAGAAAACATGTAAATAACATTGTGGGAGGGGAAGGAGAGCAAAGAAATGCAACATTAAATGCAATATTATATATATATTACACATTATATATTATTATTATGTATTATTATATTACACATTACATATTATTATTATATATTATAATATTATATATTTTCCATGTATATGTAATACATATACATTGCAGAATTGTTGTAACCTAGAGGCAAAAAACTATCCAAAGAGGAGAGGTCTGGCAACCCCAGCACAGCTGAAGTATTATAATAGTGTACACACAAAATGCTTTGTGGAAGCACAACACGAGTGACCAGTCCACTCCCAAGGGATGTGGGGAATGATGCAATAGACATGACACTCGAAATGCAGGCACTGAAAAATCAAGTGGTGCTTTCTAGATAGAGAGAGTAGATTCCAGGGAGAAACAACAACACAACTAAGACATGGGAACCGGAAGCAGCCGTGAATCATCAATGAATGGTGGCTTGAGACCAGAACCTTTCCTATGGATGGGGAGAGAGAAATCGGGATAAGAGGCTGATGGAGGGAAGGAAGGGGAGAAAATGAGAGAGAAAGAGAATCTGGGTAAACATGCAATCTAGTGATCTCCCTCATGAGATATTCATTTTCCCAAATACTCATTGAGTCATTTGGGTCAAACCCCTCAGGATGTGAGTCCTGGGCTCACCACTCATGGCCTGGTTGTGTCACTAAACTTTTCCAAGCTTCATTCTCTGTATAAGCAGCAGAGTACGCATGCCTACCTCCGAGGAAGAGCACTCAGGATACATGACGTTGCCTATGACGCACAGAGCTGGGTGCTTGGCACATGGTAAGCGTCTGATAAATGGCAACAAGCTAACAGAAGCAAGAGAAGGACTCTATTCTTCAGTCTTGACACTCAAAGAAGCTCCCCTCTCCAGCCACACCCCTTCAGGTGAACGAGGCAGCAGACTGTGACCCTGACTGTAGAGACATTCCAGTGGACCTCATTTCTGCAGCCACTCCTGAAAACAAGGTGGGGGTGAACCTGGGGAAGAGTTGAGTGGAGCTGAGAGAGGAAGAGGAAGAGAAAGGCATGCAGCACTGCCAGGTGATTCCTGGGGTACCAGGGAGAGAATGGACCCTGAGGTGTGGGCAATTTCAAAATGAGGACACTAGCATTCACTTTTTATTTGAAGATGTCTGCATAAGACAGACTCACAAATTGCCCCCCTCAGTGAGCTATGAGGGACCCAGATTGAAGTCTGTCTCACCAAAAGAGTGGCATCTGTCCCATTCCCTGTGCTCTGGAGGCACTGAGGGCTGTTGATACATCTCTGAAACCATGAAGGGGAAAGCATAAAGACTAGGGGCACATGGTGCTGGCACACCACTCTGAATATTAGCCCAGAAGGTAGGCATTGAGGGCTGGCAGAGCCCAAAGGGAGAAGTGACAGCTCCCTCACCAGAAAACAGAAGTAATGCTGAATGCTAATGGGGTATGGCTGGGAATGGGAGGCCTACGTGCACCACATCATCCATGACCACCATTCCAGCTGGGAGCCCTGCCATCCAGCCAGAGGTGTGGGATGCCTCCCAGGGCCCTGCCATCTCCCGGTTCTCATTTCATCCAGCCTTGAGCAATGGCCACAGTGGGGACCAACTCAGTGATGATGTGAAAAGTAGGAGGCGGTAGAAACTCAGATAGTGTGGACTGAATTCTTGTGTTTCCCCAGAATGCAGACATTAAAATCCTAACCTCCAAGGCAATGGTATTAGGAAGTGAGGCCTTTTGGAGGCGGTGAGGTCATGAGGGCAGAGCCTTCATCAGTGGAATTAGTGCCCTACAAAAGTGACCCCAGAGAGTTCCCTTGTTCCTTCTGCCATATGAGTCTACAACAACCAAGGAAGCAGGAACCAGGAGTCAGGAAGCAGACACTCCCCAGACACTGAATCTGCTAATGCCTTGATCTTGGACATCCAGCCTCCAGAGCCACAAAAATAAGTACTCAGTTTATATTTGGACATAGCACCATAAATAGACTGGGACAGTAGGAAAGGATTTACATATGCAAACCGTTAACCCAGATGCCATCCTGAAGGGGAAGAAGAGAAGGAGTAGAGCCTTCACTCTCACTGAATATCAAACCAAAAGACACTAAGCTCTGCACCATTTGAAATTTGTAGCCCAAGATTCCGTTTTCTGACACAGGGGGCAATGGAAGGGCTCGTGAGTTAAGGTGAGTTCAATCAGAGAATATGCAAGTGTTGTACACTCTAGTTGTTCCCAGTAGTTGAGGACACTAGAGCAGTAATACTTAACATTTATGGAACCCTTGGTTTCACTAGGCATTAAGTACTTACATGACTTACCAAATTTGCTCCGACTGTTATTCCTATTTCACAGATGAGGAAATAAGGAGAGTGGTGAAGAGGTGCATGATTCAAATCTGATGTTCTTACTCTGCAGTAAGAGCAGAGGTGATAGTTAAAGGCGGAGGAGAGTAACGAGCTCATTCATTCTCTTTCCTGAATGGAGCAGCAAAGGTCACGATGAGAGGTGGGTACAAATACCCATGAAACACCATCCAGTAAAAACAGCATTTCCCTAGTCCGTGGTGTCTGCCCTTGTAAGTCAGATGGGAAGAAAAGTGCTGTTCGCAGGTGAATATGTGACAGGTTTGAACAATGCCTGTCCTCATTTTTGGTGGTAGAGCCTCCTCTCTGTATGATTTGGACCCCAGCTTCCAGGCTTTCCAGCTATGTAATATTGCAACGTAAACCTGAGTAACTTCACTTCCTCAGCCCTCAATTGCCCCACGTGTACAGAAAGACTGACAATGCCAACATTTCAGGATTGTGATAAGGACTGGTGACAAGTCACACAGAACACTTAACATCTAGCACAAGGTAGGTTGTAATTTTCAGCATCTTAAGAGCCTCACCCTCTCAGATACCGGTTCAGTGAGAAAGCAAAATTTCTCTCCCCGAAGCATAAAAGGAATAGGCAAGAATTTAAATGTGTTCACCTCCCAGGTATTTTACTAGCAACAGCTCAAAAATCAAACCACCTTTAAAACTACAAAGGAATCCATTTCTAATAGGAAAATATAAAATTAATTCCCTTTACAATGTGTCATTATTCCAATTAAGATATCCTGTGAGCCAAATTTTTTTTATAAAACAATGAAAACACTTTTTAAGCTTTCATTTATCTCCATACTATCTCTTTTTAGAAAGAATTTGAGATTGCAAAGAAACAAAGCAACATAAATTTTGAGATCAATAAAAAAGAAACAGAAAATCAGAAATCAAGACAGGAAATTGGCTCAACTTTCTCTTAAAAGTAATCACCTGAAGTGTCACCTAGTGATGGATCCTAACTGTCAAACCCGAATCTGAGCACCTTATGAGCTAAGGCAAGAGTATTTGTATAGTTGCTAGAAATATATACTTCTAAAGCTTTTTCAAATATGGTATTATTTGTTCCTTACAGCAATCAATGAGGAATTCCCATTTTAGAGATAAGAACACTGAATCCCTTGAATATAAAACCATCTTTTTTGATCCCACTGCTATCCGCGAAGACCCACCGGTCCTAAATCTTTGTTCAATGCCTTCTGTTCCCTCGTTACCCTTTATTTAATAAGGAATAGAGTTTGGAAGCAGGAAAAACGGCTTCAGAGGTTACCTAGTCCATTTTTTTTTTTTTGAGAGCTAGTTTCAATAACACATGAGCAATGATATTTACGTGAACAGCATTAAATTTCATAAAATAATATTAAAATTTATTATGACCAGAAGTACATGCTTGACTACATTCTGGGTACTTTCCTTCAGGTTTGAGGTAGGCCTATTTATGACACAGAAATAACTGGAAGGTCAAATTATGGAAATGACCCTGTTCACTTTTGTTTTCTCATGTACGGCATCAAGGATCTAACTGATTCACATCATCCTCACTGATAAGCCATGAGTTCGGCGTTTTTTTTGAAGACTCTCCGTGGTTAAATAATGCTCAGCAACATCATCTTCCTGCAGCACTTCTATTCTAGTCATGATTAGCCTTTTCTAATGATTCTGCTCAGCTAGGGTTTTTAGTGTTTTTTAATTGCGTATTTTATGATATTTTAATTTTATGTGTATTCATTATTAATCATCTTTATTGTATTTTAATTGTCAATGCAGCATCCTAAGCAGAGAGAGGGAGCACTTCACAAATAAGAATATTAATTTATATACCTTAAAATAATAATTAGGATTTTAATAAAACTATTTCCCCTAATAGGTCTCTGTGGAATGTAAATCCCCTGCCCTTTAATGAACTAATGAAATATGAGGTGAATATCATTAGGCATTGTGCTTACTTCCAACTAAAACATTTTAAGCAACAATAGAAAATCTTCAAAATATTTACCTAAGGGCAAGCAGCCAATTCCCTCTCAAAAGCTCAATTCTCTCTCTAAGAGCTGCACACAGGGATAAAAATCTAAGCACATTCTCTCTCATGACAGCATCCATCAGGAGGATGAGCAAATCGGCACTGCCCATCCCACTGTGGTCTCCAAACCACTCTGTA